ATGTCTCTATAAAATCAAAGTCAATCTTGACATGATTGCTCTACCATGTCCCCTTGAACTTCTTGTTTGTTGTTGCTCGATTGCCCTGGCTAAGGTTATGCTTATGCCTCTTTTTTAATTAAACTTCAGTATGCCACATTGTCTTCCTTGGGTAAACAGTATTATGCCATAGAAAAATGTCATACAACATACTAGAGTAAATTGCCCTTTATATTTAGAGCAGGTCAGCGTATGTTAGTGTACATGTAGTTCTTTTTATTTACTGATTTAGTTTTTAATTCTTTTACTTCTTTTTAATTAAGGCACATTAAAAGAGAAGGTTGACTGCACTTGAGAAATGCTGTTGATTGTTTTGTTGTTTTTAATTTGCACCAGTAGCTGTAGAATTTGGTCTTGGGCTCTTAAATTTGGTCTTCTTCAACAGGTTACAATTGAAAACAAAATAAACTAAAGGAAGTAATCTATGATCTTCCTCTTTAATTTCAGTAAAACTTAAATAAACAAACCACGCTGTATATTGATTCATGGTTCTTCCAACTTGAGTTAAGTTTGCAATTATAAGGTTGTTTCTTCTGTATACACATGTTATTGTTTTATGTATGAAAACGTTTTTCATCTCCTTAATTGTCTTGCCTCTCCTTTTCTTCTTGGAGTATGAACTTTGTTGTGATTTTCATGCATTTAGTGTTGGTGCGGTCTGCCCTTTATTTGTTGCTCTATCATTTTGCTGAATAGTAAACTTCTACATTTTATTTATGTACACAACTTTGCAATTCTTATTTCTAAATAACCCGAACCGTCATCCCAATGCCCCTCTTCGACTCCTGGGTTGAACGGCCGCCCCGATTGCGGCTCTTCGATGCTCTGAGATGGGGTGGCTGATCTCTCGCCCATTTGGTCCTGTGTGCATGATCGGGGCCCGCCGCCGTACCGGTGGCCTACGTCCCCGCCCCACGGGGTTGCTACGGCCGTGCCCGAGGGGGTGCGCCGCGCCCGGCCCGGCCCGGCCTGGCCACAGCTCACCCGAGGAGGTTCAATATTGATCTCCCTTTCCCTCCCCGCCTCACAACCCCTTGTCGGACCCGCCACGGCTCACGCGCTATCGGGCCCAGGTAGGCCGGGTGCGGGGGGCGCGGCCCTCCCCCGCCGCCGCCCACCCCCGCGGCTGCACTTGCACTGCGGCTGAGGCCTCAGCCACCCCTCCGCCCTCCGCGTCGCTGCCGCCGCGCCGTCCAGTCTTCCCCCGACCCCCGCCGCGGCCGCGCGAGGCACGCATGTTGCCGAGAGGAGAGCCCAGTTCCCCGACTCGCGTTTGTTGTTTAGTCGATCTTGCTCAAGCTCGGCCTCACGGAGGAGTGCGCTACAGCCGTGTTCACTGACTGGACAGGCTACTCGGGATTCTGATGGATTCGCCATGTAGATGGCAACCTAGTCGGATTCCGATTGAGCCCGAAACCTCGTGATGCTTCGAGGTGAGTGGCTCAGGGTTGTGCGGATGCTTACTGTCTTTCTATGGTCCAAACAAAGCTACTGAGGGGCCCGTATTCGCAACACAGTTGGCAGATAGCGAGGGAAGGGGGACAAGATGCCCCACTCGCAGAGCGATGGATCGAGGAGGCAGGGACAGCGACGAGCCTCCGTGGGGACGGGCGGGGCCCGCGGCCTCAGGGGCTTCGGGTCCTGATCGCCGGGCCCTGGACTGCATCCCCGAGGACCTGTTCTTTCTGACGCCCAGGCCGGGAGCGTCGCCGTCATCGGCCAGCTCCGATCTCCAGGATAACGACACCGACGACGCCCGCAGCGCAAGTGGCCTGGTGAGTGCCGAGCTGATGGGGTGGCATATGGGCCCTCGCCCTCACGCACGGATATCCGCGATCAGCCAATACCGTCACAAGTCACGTCATTTTTCGACATTTATGAATACTTCATTTAGATGGTGCACGACTGCCCACAGGAGCGCCAGGGAGAGGCCGCGGGCCACAGAACACACCTCAGCGAGCAGGGGCGGCAAGGGGCCTTGACCCCGCCCGTGCCCGGCGAGCCCCTGGGAGGGGTGCACATCTCGGAGTGGGGCAGCGGGCCGGAGGGAAGCGCCCACCGCCACAAGCCCGGGAACGGCCCGGACGACTGGGCCATCTTTGACGTCCTGGTCAGGCACCCCGTCGAGGACCACGGCGAGGGGCGGGAGGAGCAACAGCAAGGCGCCTCGAACGCCCAAAAGCAGCATGAGTCGCCTCCAGCGCCCGAGCACGGCGGGGGCCTTCCCCGCCACCACGCGGATGACTTCCCGCCAGTACTGGTAAGCGCAGCACGTGGTCACCCCTGGGGCGGGGGCTGCCTGCCAGCTGCCAGAAGTCTTGGTCCCGAACTGACAGCTGCCTGTACGCCCCTGTCAGGGCGACAGGCTGCACGCCCCGGCACACACGCACTGCCCCCCCCCCCCCCCCACTGGGGCGAGGGTGGGGCACCCACCCCCGGCACCGGACGTGGTCGAGCGGGAGGGAAGGCAACCCTTTCCAATATTCCAAAGTTGGACAGAAAGTTAAGGTAGGCGGCGGTGGTGTCGGTGGTGGTTTGGGAAAGCTTTTGATGCGCCGCACCGCCAGGTCCGGCGAGGCAAAGAAGGGTGCATGACTGCACGTACTAGCGGCGCGCGTTCTGAGGACCCGGCTCAACTTTGGAGAACAGTAATCTGCTCTCGAGTCTGGCCCAGTCCTGCGGGCGTTACAACGTTACACCACGCGGCCTGGGATGCCTGCTGATGGGGGAGAGTCGCGTCCCGCGGGGGGCGGGCGGCTTGAAAACGCTTCCATGCCACGCACCCCTCCCCCGACGCCAACGACCCCCCGCCAACACCGCCCCTGATGCTATCGGGGAAGGGGGAGGCTTTGCAAACGGGTTGTTTGAGCTGCCAGAGCGTTGTACGCTGGTACGATGGACGATGGAGCGGAAAAGGGGGGGGGGGGGAATTTGATGAGAGGTGGTCGAAACGCTACAACTCCAATACTACGCTCACTGCTCACTTGACTCCACCAAGACTCGCAAGGAGGACGCCCGACATGCTGTGGCCACGCTGCATGCTGCATGACAACGTCTAGAGACATGCAACAGTGGCCGCCAAGGATCTTGACCCCAAATTCGGTTCGGCTCAGCCACTTTGGCTTCCAACTCACTCTCGCCTGCCACCCGGTGGTGGGAGGAAGGGGAGGGGCTGAACTAGGTTGGCCCCGATGTCACGTGTAGGCACAGCAGAGCAGGGCCCTTTCAACAACCCCACCCCTTTAGGCCGGAAAGCAGCCCCTGCCT